AAAAAAAAACAGATTAACAGAGTTGGAAGGGACCTTGTAGGTCATCTAGTCCAACCCCTCCACCCAAGCAGGAGACCATACACCATTTCTGACAAATGGCAGTCCAATCTGTTCTTGAAAGCCTCCAGTGATAAAGATCCCACAACTTCCGAGGGCAAGCGGTTCCATTGGTTGATTGTTCTTACTGTCAGAAAATTTATCTTTATTTCTAGGTTGAATCTTTCCTTGTACTCTTAACAGAGATTTCAACAGTCGATTTCTGAATTTAGTCTGTAAGGTTGCAGGCTGCAAGTAGTCCCAGGTATCTGTTCTAATAAGTGAGTAGAATAGAGATGTTATTTGATTGAAACAGGTTCTGCCTTCTCCCATCTAGAGGTGGAGGCTGTTGGTCTCACTTCATGTTTTTCCTTTTTGTTCCTGAGTCAGCTGTAACTCCTTCAAAAGTGATGATGGACAAATCCACATCCTAAAGAATTATCCTTAGAGGGTGCATATGAATAAAGATAAAATGAAACATTTACTTGAAAATATATTTTAAAAGTATTATTTGATCATTTAGATCAGGAGTGTCAAACTCGATTTCATGGAGAGAGCCACATCAGGGTTGTGTTTGACCTTGGAGGGATGGGGTGGGCGTGGCCATGGTGGGCATGACATGAGATTCATGTTGGGGGGCACCTGTGATGGCCAAGTGCTAAGGCAGGACTTCCCTGAGACCCACCCTCATTATAATCTTCCCTTTTCTTCTTTTTCCTTCCCTCTTCATTCACCCTTCTTCCTTCCGCTCTTTTCTTATTTTTCCTTCCTTGTTCTCTTCCCATCTTTCCTTTTCTTTGTCTTTCTTCTTGTCTTTCTTCTTTCCTTTTCTCCTTTCCTGTCCCTTCTTGCATGCTCAAATGCAAAAGGGGAAACAGTTCTCATTTTGTTGTCCAGTGTGCTGGACGGAGAATCCAATGCCTCTTCTTTGCTTGGAGACTGAATCAATCAGATCTTTAGCCACGCCTCCTCCATCTGAGCATGCCAAGTTTTGATTCAGTCTTCAAGTGAAGGAGATGCATGTGAGAGGTGCTGGTATACAGGAAGTTAGAGATTCATTGAGAACTTCAAAAAACAGTAAGATCGAACCCGGGGAAGAGCCTTTTGCACGCCTAGAAGTTTTTGTGCTGGGAAGTGAAAAACAGCCGATAGTGCTACGGAGGGCTCCCAAAGGACCACCGCAGCCATTTAAAATGTGGCTGGCAGTAACGGCTTGAAACTGATTACAGGAAGTCAGTATACTGCTGATTGGCGCACCTTCAATAGCGGCCACAATGCAGCAATTTAAAAGGCAATTCAGCCATAGACTCTCCCTGGGCAGCCCAACCTGCAGGGGGAGGCAAATTAGCCCCAGGGAAGAGATTAAAGGCTAGCTTGCTGGCTTAGTCAGAAACAGTAGCCTTTCACAGCCCCAGAATCACAGTCCAGCTGCAGCTTGGACATATTTAAAGCAGCAGGAAAAAAAGAGGAAGGAAAGCCGCAACAGCAGGGGTCCTTTGTGACCAAGCCTGTCCTGATCAGAGTGGCATAAGATAAAATGGCTGACCTTGTGGATGCAACCGGGACAAAGGAGGAGTATTAGGGGACTCCTGAACTCTCCCCAGACCAGGCTAAGGGCTCCAAGGGATCAAAGTCTCTCACTAGAGGAGCTGCAGCAAAGCTGAAGGCAAAAGTCATTTCCTCAAGGAGAGCAACAAAGGCTGATGAGGAAGATGCCTGGAGGCACCATAAGGCTATTAGCAAACGAATGGCCAGGACGGAAAGAGGCAGAGCAAAAAGAGGGGGACGGCTCCTCTGGAGAGAGGGGGCTTGGAATCTCCCGTGCTTTGCCAGCTAAGCAGCTAAATCAGCCAATGGAGCTGGAGCAGCAAATTCCTTGCTATCAAGACAGACCACTAGAGGGCGTTGGAGGACAGCTTCATCAGCCTTCCCTTTATTCAGAAGGCAATGATGACATGATGGTAATACAGGAAAGAGCCATGCAACCAGATATCCAGTGGGAGTTGATGGCAAAAAGGATGAGAATGGGCCCAGAGGCCACATTTACACCCGCAGCAGCCGGGTTACACACAAGGGAAAGTCAAGAACCGGAGTTGATGGACGAGATGAAGAATCTGATCTCAACATTGTCATAGGCCATCAATACAGGCCATCTGCAATGGCATCTAACGCCCCCACTGGCACAGGAAATCCCTAGTAGTCAGGACCACTTCAGGTCATCACAGCAGTGAGGAGATCTGGCAGCATCCCAAAGTGCACATTCAAACTTCTCTTCCACGCAAAGCGAGGCAACAGCCTCGGGAAGAAGATCAAAGGGATTCAGACCTTTCGGAGGATGAAGGGAAGAATCCTGAACCTCCAGCTTTTGCAGGACTCTTTTGACCGGCCCTATTTAATTCATTGCTGTTTAAGGCCAAGGCAGCAACAAATTTGGGGGCTGACCCTACTGCAGCCGAAGCAGCTACAAACCTGCCAGGCCCAGGGGAGCTTCTCTTTCCGAAACCTACCAAGGAGATCCCCTCAACTGATTTCTTCCAAAATGTAATTCATGGACAATGGAACAAACAAGTGGTGTTTACAACACCAGGCGGTAATGACAAGAGATTCTATAATGTGGCCCCAGACCTCTCTGAAGAGCTTCAGTCACCAATGATAGATGAACCGGTGACAGCTTTAACTTCCTCCTCTATATTAGCCAATGATGGGGATGACTCTCTGAAAACAGAAGATAGGAAGGCAGAACTGACACTTCACAAGACTCATCAGACGTCTGCTTGGGCGATCAAATCATCCACGGCCACATCCTTTTTCAATAGGGCCACACTGGTCTGGCTACGTCAGATGCCAGAGAGAGTTACCCCGGGGACGTCCATGCCCAGCAGGATTTCAGCAAAGTGATAGCTGCTGTAGAATTATCAGCAGATGCCACTATGAATGCTACCAGGCTTGCCTCTAAGGCTATGGCCACGTCTGTAGGGGCCCAACGAATTCTGTGGCTTCATCACTGGCAGGGGGACATGAGGTCTAAGTGGAAGTTAGCCTCAGCTGCTTACAAGGGCAGTAAACTATTTGGAGTTTGTCAGATCTCAAGGGACAAGACAAAGAGAAGCCTCATGGAGGCAGCAGTGCAACACCTACTGGAAATTCAAGCCATTCAGCCGATCCCTCGGGACGAGCAAGGACAGGGGTTCTATTCTATCCTGTTCGTAGTCCCAAAGTCTTCGGGGGGATGGAGAGCAATTCCGGACCTAAAAAGATTGAACTAATCTAATCTAATATACAAAAGATTCAAATGCAGTCCCTCAAGTCTATACTAGGGAGTATTTGGGAGGGCGACTTCCTGACCTCTATAGACCTTATGGAGGCCTAACTATACATTCCTATTCTACCAGCCCATTGGAAATGTCTATGGTTTTAGTATGCAGGACGGCATTTCCAATACAAAGCTTTACCATTCGGGCTATCCTCAGCTCCCAGAACCTTCACCAAGGTACTGGCAGCGGTGGCGGCGCATCTCAGAGCGATCCCAGTGCACGTCCAATGTTACCTGGACAACATATTGATACAGTCTTCATGGCAGAGTGGGGCAGCAGAGGACCTATGGATAACTGTTATGTCCCACCTTCTAAAATAAACAGTTAAGGCTGAAAGCAGCA